GCAAAGAATGATAATTCACTTAATTCTTAATGTGACAGGTAATGGGAGGAAGGAGAAAATGAGTGGTAGAAATATACTGAAGTGATGATCAGAAATTTCCAAATTTAATGAAATATTAATCTACATATCCAAGAATCTCAAGGAGATGGTAAGCTAAAGGCAAGACAAAAATCTATCTGAGAATCCAAAGTCAACATGAGTGGCCTTTAAATGGCAAGGAAAGTGTCATGTGATATGGAAGAAGTGTTAAATACAAGTTGATTTTTCATCTGGAATTAATAGGTCAAAATTTTGCAAGGATCAAAAACTTACAAGAAAGACTATCAACAAATCATTCTACATTTAGCAAAGTAATCCTTTAAGATAAAGGAGACTTTAAAGAAATCATTGTACATAAATAAAAAACTATGAGAATCTGTTGCTATCCAACCTTCCTTCCTTACAAGATGCAGTGACAAAGGAGAATTCAGTACTTCTGTAAGTTTGCCTTCAGGAACAAACATGTCAGACCAGCAGATCAACAAGGAGCCAAAGGACTTGAGCAATAATGTTCACTAAGATTTAACATGCATCTATAGAAAATCTATAGATATTAAATTAGTAATAAAAATATTGCCACAAAGTAAAGCTCAGATCTAATTAAAAGTTAGTAACGTTCCTTCACAAACTCTTCCCCAAAATACTAGTGTAACAGTTCCCAATTCATTCTAAATGGCCCAGAACCAACAGCAAATATATCTCAATAAAACTAAACTAGTATTTATGAGTAGTTAAAAATCCACAGCACATAGAAATATAAAAATTACATACCATAAGCAAATGGTTGTTTGAGAAATAAATAGCTGACTCAGCATCTAAAAGTCATATAACATACTGTATTAAAAGGATGAAAGGAGAGGAAAGACATCTTAATGGACACTGGAAAAGTTTTAGATAAAAACCTGCATGCCAAGAAGATAAAAATGTCCAACAAAGCATGAACAGAAGGGAATGTCTTCAGATTGATAAAGGGAATAGGTTGGGGGAAAATAAAAACAACAACGAAACAAAACAATACCATTCTTGACCTTAAAAGATGAATGTATTCCCCCTAATATGGGAAAAAAAGACAGCTATTGGTTCTCACTACTTCTATTCAACAGCACGCCAAAAGATGTAGCCATAGCAATTGTGCAAGAAAGAAAACTATACAGATTGAAAAGGAAAAAGTAAAACTATCTGTTCTCAGATGACAAAGTATAAATAGAAAATCTTAAGAGCTCAGGAAAAGTTAGGAGTCATTTGCATAACAATGGAGTTATTCATGGTGTATGAAAGCTTACAATAACAGAGGACAGTAAGCCAACTACAATTTTTATAAAATATACATAGAGGAATCGATGAAAAGAAGCTGATTCAGCTACACAGGCCAAGTCACAAAACAGCAACTTAAAAATACTTTCAGAAGTGACAATGAAGAGTGAGGACAAAGACACACCCCCATATCTAAACAGTAAAATACTAGGACTCCTAGAAAATAAGAATCTTGCCTACAAAAATGCTACTGTGGAAGTGTGAAAGAAATACATTTAGTTAAGTGCTAGATTTGCTATATTAGGAGCATAACTACAAGGAGGACGAGGCTGTAAGTTTGTTAGGGTACAGTAAACTCCAGATGGCACAGAAGTTTTAGGAAAGGGGAGCTCTTGGGAGAAAACCAGGGAACAGACAGATCCGTCATTCTGAACAACTAATGCCCAAACAGACATAAGTTATGGCTAAAGCACATTGCTATGATGAACTATGATAACAATAGTGGCTAAGCACCAAAAGAAAGGGAACCAGTACTCATGTTAGAGAATAGGAAGAGGGACTTTTGTATAGTTGATATTAAAAGACCTAGACGTTTGTACTCTCAAACTCTTTAACACTAACATGAAGACAGAAAATGACAGTTCCAAGGCTTGTTATGGAAGGTTTCTCTTTGTGGCATGCATCCTTGTAAATACCTCTGGTATAGCTGGGAAACCCAGGACAAACACTGAAGCTTGAAGGTATAGTGAACCAGTCAACCTATGAGTCTCAGTATTATCAGCATACTCAACCACTCTATGCTTAGTAAGTTAGCTTAGCAATCTGCAAAAACACTGTGTGTATCTCTCTGCCCTCACTACCAACCACTAGGAATTAACAATGCACAATTACAAGTGCCTTAAAGTCTATAAACTCTGAGGGGGATTTGTTATCATGTTCTAGGGAAATGTTAACATACTATCTTTCACTGAATTCTGCAAAATCACAATTTATAGAAACAGACATACTGCAGCCACCACTTAAACAGTTTAATTTGTTCATTCCTATATTTAACTGACCTGTTAATACGTAAGGAATTAAGAGTTTAGGGTTCTGGATTTTGGAGAGAGAGAGGGAGTTTACTTTCTAACTTTTCTGGTAGATGATTACACTCAGCATTGGTTGAACTATTTCTAAGGACAGAGACAATTACCTCCATGTTACCCATTGTATTTCTGATAGTCTGAGTTGGGTCTCCTTTATGCTGTAATTTGCCTCCCTTTATCTTAAACTACAGATATGATAGTTCTGTTGTCTGGCGTTATAGAATATGTTACTCATTCTTCCAAATCAACAAGAAATCCAGCTATGTTAAACTTGAAGATTGGTTATCTGAAAATGCCACTCTACCACATAAATTCTGCAAATTGGCCTTGTGCCAGGCTGAGACTCACTTCTCTCCTTCAGACACTACATTATTCCTTAGCAGTCTCCAATCAGACCTTCAGACTGATTCAAAAATAACCACTTATTCTGTGCTATCCTAGATAAAACATACAAACAGAGAGAGCTGCTGCATGCTCATTGTATCACTCTTCATTACTTTATTAGGCACACACTGTCACAATGTTAACACTGAATTCTAAGTACCCACATGCTTGTCTCTGTGTATGAAATGGCACATGCACAAGAATCTTCCTAGCTTTAGTGTAAAGCTGTTTATTAATAAGCTGTATCAATGAAGAATTCTTCCTATCATCTTCAATACAATAGTCCAAGAAGTCATTACAAGTCCACAACTTGGCTGGGCGTTGGTGGCACAAGCCTTTAATCCCAGCACTTGGGAGGCACCTGTCTCGAAAAAAAAAAAAAAAGAAAAGAAAAGAAAAGAAAATCCACAACTTCCACCTCTCATACTATCTCCAAATTCATACCAGCTTAAGACTTTAGAGGACTGTACAACATATGGCTACCAATGAGTATCTATTAAGTGAATGAACAAATTTTTAAAATAAGTATATTTATGGCTTGAATATGATATGTCTCTCACAGGCTCATGCTGTGAGTGTTTGTTCCCAGATGATAATGTTAATCTGGCTGGACAGTGAATAGGAGGAGGGGATCTGGTAGAAATAAACTATTAAGGTTAAGCTTTTGAAGGCTATACCTGGTAGCTCCAGCCTCACTCTTTGATTCCTAGTTTGCAGTGATATGAGGAGCCTCCATCACATGCTCCTAACACCAATAGCTGCTTCACCACACCTCCCCTGCAATGATGAACTCAAACTCTCTGAAACTGAGTCAAAACAAACCTATCCCCTCTGTTAGCTGTTTCTGTTAGGTATCGCAGTGAAAGTGAAGCAAAAATAACTTATACTGACACGCTTATTACTTACTTAAGCTTCATACACCTGCCTTCATTTAACTTATTGTAAAGACTTATCAAGATTAGAGAAATATGATCACCATTATAGTGATAAAGATGATCTCTAAATAAGGATCTTGCCTGACAGAATAAACTCTCAGATGCCTAGAGGAAGTACTTCATGAATTCTTCCAGACTACCCAATCATATCCCTCTATTTATTTACTCCAACAGAAGGTTTTCATTAGACCATATTTTTCCTTAATCCACTAAAAAATATTTTATTAGTCTAGAATTTATTCAGCTTAGACAGAAAAACATAATGAAGAAGAGTTAAGGAAGTTACTGTGCCACTCAGGACCTAATTCAGTGTATGTCCAATGTACTCTTCTTAGACCTCACACATGACAACTCCCTCTGTATTTGTCTTATAAGGTGAATAAATCCAGAGAAACAAATTCTCCATCTTATGCACACCAGGCATATGGTAATGACAGGTCAAGCTTTGCTCTTTACTTTTGCTACAAGGACCCTTAGCAACAACTTATTTCTTATTTTAGGTAGTACAGAGGACCATATGATTTCCTTCCATCATTTCTTCATCTCAGTTTTATTATTTGCATTACAATATGCTCCAGGATAAACCATAAACCACTTGTGGAATGAGATAGTAAAAAAAAATTTTAATTAAAAAAAAAAGTCATTGCAAACCACAAACCAGGTACAGTATAAGCACCTTTATCCTGATCCATGCATACTCACAGGAAGTGTTTTTAAGCCTGCTCACAAATGGTAGACTGAAGACTGAAGTGTCCAGAGAGTTAAATAAACTAAGCTTGCAAAGCTAATCTATAGCAGGTGAAGCTCCGACCCCAGTTGTGAATGGCTGTGAGCCCATTATACTACTTGGTCTGATCAAATTCCATACTTTATCCTTTAAAATGAAAGTACTTCTAGTGTCATATGTATCTCTTAATAGTACTTGTGAAATTTTACATGTTCAACTTATAAGCAAAATAAAACCAATAACTTAGTAGTTACTTTGTATAATATAATTTTAAAAAATATAAACAAAGTCAATATTCATCAGTTCCCAAATGTGAAGTAAATCTTCTCCCCCACAGTCATATCACAACTTAAAATGGTTTTATAATAGATGCGAATGCAATTTGTAAATCTACAATAAAGCTACTAAAAAAAGAGTCCAGCTAAGAAAAGATTAGTTATTATAACAATTATATATCATGCATAACCTGAACTGGTTTAGATGCCTTGAAAACCAGGCAAAATCAGCTTGGAGATAGAATTGTTAGTCAAGTTAAGCAGAGGACAGAGGTAAAGCTGCAGTTAGATCAGCACTCACCTGCTCAAGTCACTTTTCCCATGGTGATGATAGTGATCAGGGTGGCTAAGGTGGTAATGCTCCTGTCCACTCCACCTCTGGGGTGCTCTTTTCCAAAATCCGTCCTGTGACTGTCGTACATTTCTGTCTGCTCGGTCAAAGCGGTTCATATTGTCACACTCCACTAGGCAGATTAAAAAGTAACAGACTATAAATATGTGCACACCCTAAAAAAAAACTTAACTACTTATGCTCTGATAATTAAATGTTGCTGAAAATATTTTTTAATTCTAAAAGCACCAGCCATGTATGCTAAGTAATTACAAAATAAACAGTGAAAACTAAACTTAATACCTCCAAACTTAAGTAAATTATAATACTTCTGTAGGAGTCACTTAAATGAACAATTAACTGTTGGGCTGTTTTAAAACAAGAAACATTTCCCTGAAATCAACATTGCATGTTTCAAAAACAAGCAATCAGGACAGGAAAGTGTACTTCTTAAGAACAGCAGACGGTCCATTCTTAGAAATGAGTACCTCAATTAAGCTTCTCAGCCTCAAGAAGCACAAATTAACCCTTCATCCTGTTTTCAAATAAAGCCCACACTTTTAAACAATAAGCTGCTCCAATCTGCCTACAACAGAGCTGGCTCAGAAAGACAGAAATGCTACTGAAAACAAAGCCTGTACTTTGTAACAACAAATAGTCCACTCCTGAAATCCAGATACCACAAAAACTCGACAAGAATCCCTGAAGCACCCAGGCTTCTTCACTCACCCAAATGCTCGGCTCTCACATCTCTGAGCACTCTCTGAGAAAGCTACTTGGTACAAGGGAGACATTGTGTTGCCGGCTGCCTACTCAGACATAGTTGCACACAGGCGCTGCTGAAACAGGCCTTCCTTCCTGCTCCACTCCCAGCCCTCCCTGTGGGAAGCAAGCCCAGTCTGCCCTGTGACTCCATCTTCTCTCAATGCTTACATAGCTATTGAGTTAGGACTGTTACTAAAAATACTTCTAAACACTATCCCAAGCCATGGAATAGGAAGGGCTTCTCCAGCCTAAAAACTACATGAAGAAGTTCAGAATTTCTTATCATAAAGAACTTTACATATCAATATAATCATGATTTTTTAAGTTAACTTACTTTAAGTGGCTGTTATAATTAGCCAAAAACTTGGATTTGAAATTTGCTAATTGTTTCATTACAGAGAAGATGAAAAAGCTTCCCATTTATAAAAGGATGATATAGAAATAGGATAAAAGGATGATATAGATGATATAGAAAAACAAAAGCAAGCACCTTAAGCATACTTTTGTAAGGACTTGGAAGTTTTGTTTGCATTCATGAGGAATCAGTGAATACTAACAGTTTGTAGAGATAGCTTTTAAAAGAAGTCTAATATATGCAATTACTCCTAATAGCTTCTTGTTATTTTATTGTTAAAATTAAGTTGAATTTAAGTTCAACTATGGATAATAAATGGTATGATGACTACTATGTTGAAAAATATCAGTAGAAATGAGGTGGCTAAGGAAAAATTTTAAGTAAACCTTGAGGTTTCAAGTTAATTTCAGTTTAGTTCCTTTGGTAACATCAACAACAAACTCACAGCTGCATTACACTCATAAGACACATTCACTGAGGCCCCCAGAGTATTCTACCTATCAGTTCAGCAGTTCTATACAGCTGAAGCAAATACACATCTACTTTTAAATATTTTTCCTTAATTTAGGAAGAGAAATTTCCAGTACCAAAGGAATCAATGTTGTTATTGGAATGACCTGTATATTCTCAGAAAAGAGTAGCAAGAGGCAAGCAAGGCAGGTAAGTGAGCTAATTATTAGAACAATTCCAGAGCACAAGCTACTGTGCAGCTTTGGTGAACATACTCCAAATCAGGGCTCTTTACTGAAACTGGAATTCATTCCTAATGCCTCATTGGCAAGAAAGACAAACATCCACCACTACTGCAAAAGATTAAAGTTCACATCTAGACCTAATTTCTACACAGGATCCTGACTCTCCTGAGAGAGCTGCTCCTATACTCCTTCCTCGGGCTTCTGTCCATCAAGCACATGTTTACAAACTTTGGGATATAGCTAAGATGGCAATATTAAAATATTAGAGGTGGTTACCTAGGCAAGATTAAGGTGTTCCTTGACAGAATAAAAGATATAAAATAGAAAAGAAAATGGGAAACAAAAAAATCACAAGAGGGAGATAGATAAAAATCTGGTTCTTGGGCCTAACAAGAGCAGCACATAAGGTTTTACAGGGAAAATAAGTTCCCCTGAATATGTCATGCTGCAAGGTTGATGGTGCCTGTGGTAAACCTCCAAGAAAGACTAAGGGCAATCCTAAAGATATCTCAAATGAAAACTACGAAAGCCAAGACGATAACCAAAAAGCACCCTTCGACCAGACCAGACCCTACATCCTAAAGCTATTTCTGGAGAGCAGTCTCCTTCATGTTGAAGGTCACTAGTTCCAATGGCAAAAAGTAGCATATGTTAGTTCTAGGACTGTAAAAGACAGAAGCATCAGGTTCTAACGCACTTGAGAGGGGAAGAATCTAATTAGCTAACAGAGGTATATGATATGTGGATCCTGTCATGCTGGGTGTCGTTTTTCCTTGTTTGATAAAGGAATAAAACATGATACCCAATGTATTCTAGATTTTTTTCTCTAACACTAGAACTTTCAAGTCCCAAGAGAGATAATAATGACACAGGTAGTAATTTTTATATAAGTAATTGGATGAGAAACAGGATGACATTATCCTGACAAACCCTGAGAAGGCTTTACATTATCAAGAAAGTTTCCAACTGTAATTAAATGTTAAACAAAGAATAAATCATGTAAATGAAAAAATCATAAATTGAATTACTTAACATGGTACTGGTACAAAAAGATAAATTTCTAGGAAAAAAAACTCAAGTAACTGGAAGCAACCAAGAATAAGATGAGCCTCATGTATCTTAATACAAAATGTAGCAAAAATGTGGCTGTGTGGATTTAAACATAAGATAAATATAATTCAGTCAGCAATTAAACTTTGTGTGGGATTCAGTAAATGATTAGAAAAACATCTTTCAAAGTCTGAAGTCTAAACAGAATGGCCAAAATGATTAACAGTATACACAGAAACTATCCACTAGGGCAATCCACCAACCTGAGGATTACACTCTAATGTGCCAAATACCAGGTGTGTGTTTGTGGGCGATGGCTGGTCATCAGCATTTCCTAAACAAGAGGAAAAGGCAACACAGCTGCGTTTCTGGCATACCAGAAATATTGAGAAACACTCTACAACAAAAAGAGACCTACAACAGAAAGGAACAATTGCAAACATCCAATAGCCTTCCAAAAGAAATTCAGATTGCAAAACTGTTTCCTTATGAAATTCCTTGGTCTACTAATTCAGGTCAAGGTTAAAAAAGAAAAAAAAAAAACAGCTTGCAAAATTAAAACATTCTGTCACTAAGTACAAGCCTTCCAACTCACAACTCAAGCCTAAATGGTTCATGATTCCTCACCCACAATTCCACACCTCTACCTCTTTGATTTCCTTCTGAAGGACCTCTCCCTCTGACCTGTTGCCATTCCTTTTAAATAAGACAAAAGCCTCTTAAGTGCGATATCTGGTAAAGCTAAACATTTTCAGAACAGGGAAAACTGTACACAGTCTATTCTCAGCTCAGAGGGCATGGCTAAATAATTTAAAAGGTCTAAATGGCATTGGAAAAAATCCCCAGGGCAATCTAGACTAGCTCTTCGGAATCATAATCTAGTGCTCAAAGATCTATATGAACTTGTTCATAATTAAAAGATACTCTATGCAAAAACATAAAGGTGCAAAACAGTGTAAAGAATGTGACAGTAGTTTATGAGCCTACGATGGCAGACAGGCATGGAGGTGCTCAGAAGCAGAGGCAGGCAAACTTCAGTGAGTTGATGGGCATACTAGTCTACCTAGCACATTATAGGCCAGCCAAGACTATACAGTTAGTGTATCTCAAAAAGAAAAAAAAAATCAAATAAATAACTACAATGGAGTGCAAATGACAGTATAGAAAAGGATTTTCTGAATCTTTCCTGTAGACACAGATTGAGCTCTGATTCGGGCCTGCAAGGAAGAGGGGGAGAGGTGACAGCTAAATTCACTGCAGACATCAGGGTCAGTGAACACCATCAGAAAGCATCCACAAGACTCTAAAACAAATGTTACCCCAACTTCCTCATCCTCTATGAAAACCTTCAATAAAAACATTAGAGAAAACCACCAGAGTCTTACAGCTTGAAGATCTGGGATGAGCCAAAGAAAAAAGCAGACTAGGGCAAGAATAAAATAATATCCTACACAGCAAACAGACCCTCTACCTCAGTCACACAGAGGAGGGACACCGGATCTCTTTTCAAAGACATTAGGAAAAGAAAAGGGAAACTTAGCAATTAATAAAGTGTTCTTAGAGGAAGCAGAACACTTGGCTGCCTGTCTTACTTTAGACTCTAAATAAGCTTTTCCAAAAAAACTAAAGGAGCTTTGCAAATGTTTTATTTTTATCTAAAATAACCTTATTATAATGAATTTCCAAATAAAAACATTGCATAACTAGATTAAGGTAGCCATTCAAACACACACTTGCCCAGTCCCAAACTCCATGCATCTTAATGACCTTCTATACAGTTAGAATAGCCATTTTAAAGCCATGGAGCTTCATGGGGTTCTTTCATTTTTACTATCAATTACATTTTTTATGTACTTATCCAACATAAAATAAGAAAAAAACTATGACAGAGTTAAAAATCAGAAAAACACTTGGCTTTATTTCCTCTATAATTACTCATGTGGCTGGTACGCCGCCGAAGGGGAAAGGGACAAGATCTCCTAAGCAATTTGGGAGCATGAGGGGAGGGGAGAGGGAGCTAGGAGAATGAGAAGGGGAGAAGAGGTGGGGTGAGGAGGACATGAGGGAGCAGGAAGTTTGAGTTGGGAGAAGAATAGAGGCGAGCAAGATAAGAGATACCATAATACAGGGAGCCATTATAGGTTTAAAGAGAAATCAGGTGCTAGAGAAATGTCTGTCCATCTACGATGATGACACCAACTAACAATCTAAGCAACAGAGGAGAGGCTACCTCAAATGCCCTCCCCTAATAATGAAATTGATGACTGA